CGAGAATTCATATCTGCCCGGTCTAACATCACCAATCAGGCAAACTTGTGCACGTATGCTCGTGTCTGTCTGCTTGTGCCCACGAAGCTGGGAGGGGAGGCGAGTGTGCGGGTATAAGGGAATAATAAAATTAATATTTCATCCGTGCCAAAATGAAGGCTGTGAAATAAGCCACAATCTCCATATGGACAGAGGCAAAAGCTCGGAAACGGAAAGAATTTTTGCTAATTTATGTTTGCCACTGCCCGTACCTGAGAGCCAGCATAACGCGAATTGGTGAGATGAACCGACACTCTCAACTTTTCCCTCAATCTCAGAGGCACAAGCAAGTACACACATGTATGTATGGCCGGCTTCAAACACACAAACACACACACACACACACAAACAAACATGCACACTTGCGCATGCAATAGGACATGGACACACATACACGAAGTCGTATGCTCCCCTCGATCTTGAGGCATTCAATAAAGCTCCCAGCTACAATTTGTCTTTTCTGACACAAACGCTGACCGGACGAACCGGTTTGCAAAAGCTTGTCTCAGAAGGATTTCAAAGATAATGTCTGGTTTTCCTGTCCAAAGTATTGTTAGCTGTCGAAGCTGGAAGATGGCTCTTGGCGATTTCGATAGCACCAAAAACCAACACCACCTAACACTGCCTTCTACCCTACCCCCATATCTGGTCTATCTGCTGCCGCTTGGTCCCTTCAGTTGACGTTCTCTCTCTCTCTCTCTCTCTCGCTCTCGCTCTCTTCCTCCCCTTCGCAGTCTCCCTATCTCTCACTCCTCACATCTCATACTTCCCATTTACTCAGCTCCCCGCAGTCTCACCTTCCTTGTAATCGGTACTTCCACCATCCTCCATTTAAGCATTTATATATCCCTTTTTGGATTATCTCTCAGAGTAGACTGAGAATACAATAAAATGTGATTTCGTGCAAAGTACTGCCTCATCAAGTCTGTTCGCAACATGAAATCTTTCCCACTTTACATATACGGGCTCGGGCACTGTAACAGCTACAGCGATGAAAGTGCCAGCTTGCGCCTCACATGCACCTACTCAACTGCATTCTTGGACCAAGGTTCCTGTTGCGTAATGCAACTGAGCTACGCAAAGCCTGCTATGGCGTCAGGCACACCGACACTCGACGCCGGTTTGCGGACAGTTGCTAGCGAAGGTAGATTACCCGCTCAATAAACAAAGCTCTTAACCTACGACCGCCATACTCTAACTACTACTTATAGTGGCAGTAGTATGGCTTCGACAATGACGACAAAAATGCAAGGCGAATTAATAGTAACAAAAATAGTTGTAGAATAAGAAGAGAAAGAAAATAAGAATTACGTGCGCCGGAAGGAAAGAATCACATTAGCGAGTGTTGGAAGTTGTTATTCTCTTATTTATTTGAATTTACTCTAGTTTGAATAATGAAATAAAGAAGTGAGAGATGAATATTCTCAAAATCACATGAGTATTTCACACGATGCCATCGAATTTCACCCAGCCTTGCCACCCAAAAGGTATTTTATTCAAGTTGGGCTTGGCTACAGTTTCGACTTAGCCTGGATCTCATCCTGGATATGCGAAATGCATATGATTGTGGGAAAATGCATCACCAGGGGGAATAAAGCCCTTATTCAAGAACTACTGGTATTTTCTAGACCTAGTCATTCGTAATCATATATATTCGATTGGCGGCCAACCAAGCTGCCTCCTTACTGTCTATTCAGAGGGCATATCTTCTTGACCACCAAATCGTCCTGTACTTCCTCGCTCGTTTCCTTCCTCCCTTCGCTCCCCTTCAGCCAGCGCTGCTCTCTTTATTAGTAGTGGTAACAGACGAAACCCTCCGTAACCGCCACCATAATCAATAAAAGTCGTCCATGTCACGAGTCCCTTCCGTCAAATATATATATATATATTTATATATTTATATATTTCTTCATATATTTATATATTTATATATATATATATCGCTTACCATTTATGCCTGACTATGGAAGTGTGCGACGCGACAGACAAACTGGAAAGAATATGATTTAGACAGATGTTTTTCACATATGACTATCAAGTAATCGTGCTTTATATGATGATTATTCGAAGGTGTGTCCATGTGGGTGTTTGTGGGTCTGGAATTCTGGACTGGAGAGGCTCCTTCGTCTCGGGATGTAGGAATGAGCACGAGTTGTTTACCCTCCTTGCCGCATCGGTACGTCTGCATGAACTTGGACGCTGCATCAGTGCCTCAAACTCCAAGTTGCCCGGGCGATTTTCTCCCACTCCCTTGCTGCCTGGCCTGTGTGTACCTGTCCATTTGGTCATTTATCTCAGAGACATGCGTACACATGGTTTCCCTAGCAAGCAAGCGCACACGCGTGCGTGTGGCAGTCATGGTCGTGGCTTTGTCTGATTGCAGAATTTGGCATAATTTTGTTTGCCTACTTTATAACTTATCACGGCCGAGATTTGTGGGAGTCCGCCAGAGCATTCTGCCCACACAATCTTTTTTGACCCAGGAAATTCACAGCCTGCACAGCCAAAGAGGCTGTGGAGGCAGCCTCGCCTGGTCCAGTGTGCGCATGCGCAGAGTGACGAGGCTGAGCAAAGAAAATCGGGGCTAAAGAGAGCTGGCGAGAGGAGCAAATAGAGAAAAGCAATTGAGCCCAAAATTCACACACACCCTTTCTGCTTGAGCAAAATATCCCATGACAGATAGTGACATGATTTACAGATGAGTGGCTCTACCTTTTGTGAAGCAAAGCTATGTGAAATGTAATGGAAAAACGTAGGGCCTACTCATATGATTGTGGGAAAATGCTAATACCAGCCTGCTTATCACCTAAATTGAATATGGGTGAATGCGACTCAAAGCAAGTCCCTGCTTTACAAACTATTGGGAGAGTAAAGGGAAACACCCCCTATCCGGGCTCGGTTTTACTACTCGGTTGATTGTGATATATCTACTCGGGACTCGAGCTTACAACTCTTCGGAAGACGTAGCATCAAACGAACCAGATCAGACCGATACTCCATCCATGAGGACTCATCTTTCTTGGTCATGGTTCAGCCTTTATGTACTAGCATGTGTGCGTGTATGTATATGTATTGTTGGGGGACTTTCAGTTCGTATGAAGGTGCATGAAAAAAAGATTCGTAGGTCCATCTCACCAGAAGACGACGGCCGATTATCGTTGTACTGCAGCCGTTTGGCCTTGACACTACCTTCGGGTGGTGCAGTCCACGAGATATTCTCGCTCGTTTCGGGTAAAAACTGGCTTAACATTCGTTCGTCATATGACGAACATCATCAGAGCTGGAACTAATTTTTGCAAAGGTCTCAAGTTACCACTAAATCAACAAGAATGACTTGCTTTTTTCTATTGCTATACATATTCATCACAAGAAAAGTTTTTAGGATGTAGATGGATATAGAAAGGTTTGATTAACTTTCATATACTCAAGTATGCCTGTATATGTGTAGATGTGTATGCGTTTTAACGTTTATGTACAAAACCGGCCATGGCCGGTTTGAGACCGTCGCAAGAATGAGTTTTTCATATGACGAATGAATGCTAAGCCAATTTTTACCAGAAACGACTTGATATTGAGACGTAATCATCAAGACTTCCTTCCTCCAATATAGCATTGGAAACAGTTATCATGATGGACGTGACTGAGAACCTAGTTCAGAAATTTTTTCTACAAATCGTAAACATTCTGGCCTCCTAATCAAGTCTTATGATACAAGACTTGCAGGGCCTGTAAGGATTAGTTGTGCCAAATAAGTAGACTTTTATGTCTTTTATCATTATTCCAGAGAGTTGGATATCATAGAGACGACCTCAAATCTTCCAAACCTTTCCACTC